GGAATCTCGAGGCTCGTGGATCAGCGAAAACGGAAAAATCCTCAAAGATTAAAACGCCGGAAAAAAAACGTCGCCAGTCGATGTTTTTTTTTTGTTTGTTGATTTTCCTTGAAGATGCAAGAGTCAATTTTTCAATTACGTAAACAAAAAAAACAGAAACCCCTGCATCACTGTAACATACCTCTATATAGCACCTTTCATAGTTTAATTAGCCCTCGGGTTATTGGTCGTTTGAGTTTTCTCAGAAAGAGAGGAAGAGAGAAACAAAATGGCAGAGAAAGAGGCGATGTCTCCGAATATATTTATTTTTTTGACTAGAAAATCGACAGAAGAATTGGAAAGATTAAAGAGATGAGAAAAAAAGATGATCGATGTTTGGTAATCCGAGGGTTAAGACTGATTCTACAAACGCGTTATAAAAATGCTAGACCGAACATATTTTATAATTACACTCTGTCATTATTATTATTATTATTATTGTTTGTAATTATATATAATTACTATTACGAATTTGTTTTTAATAAACGGCAGGTGCCATGATTACATATATTGATTAAAATATGTGATTATTTTTATAGATTCCAACCTGAAACTTTATCCCTTGTAAGTACACATGTGTGCGGAAAAGATATTATGGATACTATTAATTTGATCTAGTAAAAAAAACGTTGTAATTTCAGAATTTATATACATAAAACTTGTCAAGATTATTTATCGTGTATTGACACGAGAAAATTGAAAATTTTTTCCACACAAATATCTGCTCTATTTATCAAAGAAGGAAGGGAACATTGATTAATTTGTCAAAAGTTTTTCTTTTCAAAGCTATGTTTATTTATTTGATCTTATTTCTGGTATACATTATGAGAACTAATTATAGTGATTATATTGTGTTTTATTGTTGCAGTAAGAATCATAATGTTTATAAGAAATATCATTTCAGATACAATCTTTAAACATATTCTTTTAAATATATTTTTACTTTCAAGCTTTTCATGTTTTAATAATCCGATTCGTTGCTGTCGTATTTTCCTTTATTTTTGTTTACATTAAGATTGCTATTAAAATTAGTATTCTGATTTGTATTTAAGTTGTTGCTCAATGAGGACAAAAAGCTAGGCAGTTTACTAGACAAAGTACGTCTCGAATGCAGTTGATTGGCGTTTGTGTTAACATTTGTATTTACGTTTGCGTTAGTGTTAGCAGCTGTGTTCAAGTTCAAAATCTCGTCGTTAAAGTCGTCGTCATCGGAGGAATCGAGAATCTGTCTTCTTTTCTTTTTCAGAAGCTGTTTGAACAAATAGTTTTCGAGATTTCTTCGATTAGAAGAAACATATTTGTCAATCTGCAAATTAACAAAGTACAAAATTGTGTTTAATTTTTAGAGAAAACAAGTTGTAACACAAGTGTAAAAATCTACTGAAAAACTAATAAATCTTTGATACTTGGATAAAAGTATAAGTAATTAATATTTAATATTATGTAGAGAGATAAGAGAAGAAACCGTGTTTTTTAGTTTTGTTAGAAATATTTACTATCTATCGTCTATATACTTTTTATGTACTCGAATACCTCATTGCTTTCTTGATTTCGTCCAAGCGAGGTGGACAAATCGTCAATCAAATTATACAATTGTTCGATGGGTAGAACACAGTTAATTACGCCTTTTTCGGTCTGGTCAGCGAGCAATGTCTCAATGCGCTGCAGCGATGTCCGAATGGGCTCGAGATGTTTGGATTTTCCATACACACATTGCGACATTAAAATCACAAGCTGATAACGGAAATATAAGAGATTAAAACTGTAAATCAAACTGTGTATATAAAATAATTATTTTTAGCAAATAATAATTAAAACACACATTTGAAAACAAGCAACAAATCTTGAGAAAATACTAATCAAATGTGTAAAAATAATAAATATCGATAATATTTTATTTACCTCACAATGTTGGTAACATAACATATATATTTTGAAATGTTGGAATAATAACAAAAACGAAACTTTTAACTTACAAGACAGCCGAGTATTCGGCGCGAAATTGTCATAGGTGGCATGATCGCGTCACTCTTTGAGTATCGTCTCAACTCTCGATCGATTGCTCGCCCAGTGAATGTATAGAAACGTTCTAGTATATAGACTTTTATATAGTCGCGCAAAGATTAAAATCATTCGCGAATTTGCTTTAGGCATAAATAAAATATGGTAATAAAAATATGGTGATAATCGTTTACACGCGTGAAGGTGCAAACCTTCATTTATATTTAGGCGATAGTGTTAATTGGCCTTTGTAAAACTATAAAATCATAACGCCTTGGAGGTCCCGTCGAGGCAGTAAATTGCAGAATATATAGAAATTCAATTATAGTATAAATGATAGAAGTGAAGCAATATTTCTCTCTTTTAATAGCCACTATTTCTATTCGAAATAGAAAGGAGGCCGGGACGTAGTAACGAGATCTCAGAGCATAATAGAATATTGTCGATAATTTTTTTTTTTCAAAGAAACAATCAATCCAGTAAAACTAGTGCAACTGCTATTTTCAGATGTCTCTGTTTTAGTGCGTGATAAGTGTTGTTTGCAGTCGCGTTGCAATTTTTTTGATACCAAACATAACATACGTGTTTAATATTAGATACCATTCTCACGTTGATTTGTATATGACTCATTTAAATTTCTATTGTTGGTTTGGATTTGAGTTAAAAATAAAACACGTATAAATAAAGTAGTAATTAACAGAATTATATATTTATAAAAACAAAGATCGAACATACATTTCTTTCTTGATGAATAACTTATTTTTATATTATTTTTAACTTCATATTACATCAACAGTTTAATTCAACAATCGATAGGAAACAATTAATTCCACAAATATTTGTTCTGTGACAAATTTTGTTTTTATTTTGCAAAGAACGTAGATAAAACTAAGAAAGCGCTTTGAGAATGTCCTTCCTGTGTATCTTGACTACGATACTTATATAGTCGTCGTTCTGTTCGTCGGTATTTATCGCAATGGAATTGCTCTGCTGACGGTGTTGCAACGTTCTTCTTGTGAACATGTTTTCCTCATCCAACGTCTGTGTGACTGTCTTTGACAAAATTGTTTTCAGGCAGGCCATCATGTCCGCCACGATGTCCCTCGTCAGTATTTCCTCGTCTAGCATGTCCATGGACGGTGTGTCTCTGGTGAGCATCCGTCGGGCGATATCATCGAACTTGCTCGCTATTTGATAAATGGATGGCTGTATACCCCTCCTGGTAGGCGATACAAGTGGTGTCACCGCATTTTCGAGGGATTTGATAGCGTTTTGGGAACCGATAGCGTGTTTCGAACGATTTGTCAGACGATCCTCTATCACCCTCCACAATTCCTCAGCCACTTCCCTTGGGTCCAGATTCACGATGATGTTTACATTCTTATTTTCAACAAGAATTTCCGACTGAAAGTTGAATTTTTATTTTTGGTCTTCGTACAAATGTGCGGACGAAACAATCGGTAAAATATTTCACTCAGTATTTCTTTTCGTTTTAAAAAAAGTACGTGCAATATTATTCTTTTGAAGAAATTTTTTTATTACGGGTTAATTGTTACTTTGCGTTTCTTACCTCTTTTTCTCTCGTGTTAAAATGCTTCGAATGAACCTGAAAAGATACGCGCATAATTAGAACATTATTAAATAAGATATTTGTGTTTATAAATAAAATATATGCGTCATGATAGTTTCCAACAAGAACATTAATAATTGAACACTGGCTATGTCGTTGTTACACATCCGCCGAACTGCTTTCTTAAAAAAAAAACAGCTGTTCTTACTTGGGTCAGCGCAAGGATGGCGCACAATATTAAAAAGTACGTCATAATGTAAATTGTATCGCAATTGTCGTGGCACAACACCTGGACTTCGGAACGACAAGTGTCTGTATCATAAACCGACTTTTTATATTCGGATTAATCCTGTGTGTGAGCGACGCGATAAAACGCGGCACACAAAACTTAATAAAATCTCTAGCTCGCTTTCGAATTCGCGCGCTATAGTTCGTAATTCATTTATTCGTGTGATAAATGCAGATGGATCTGCTTGTAGGCAATCAGTTGACGAGCTGACGTGTTATAGATCGATGGGAACGCGAGTTCGGAGTTTTCGCGAAGCGCACGCGAGCGATACTTCCGTACACGAAGTAAGGGAAATGAAAAAATCAGCGCTCTTTCTCATTACTTTTTATGTCATAAATTTATATTACGTAACAAATGTCAATTATACACCTATCGTATCGTATAATGTCCGTACTAAATTCACTTTGTTCGCCGTTATCTTTACAATATGTTTGACCACATAATTTGCTATTGTCTTCTTGTCGGCGCAGCCGGTATTAAAAAGTAGTTTCAAACGAATTACAAGTGAAAATTACTGTATTACAATGACAATTGTTTTTTTTGATGATTTTTCCTCCCGTCTTATGCGCAATTAATATTTATTTTCTCGTCTTTTATGTGCAATTGATATTTATTTACCTACACAACATATCATTATCGTCTTCGTAATTGGGATTTTTATATAGTGATATTTAACAAAAATTATTAGTGCTTATACATATATTTTACATTTACATACAATTACATTACATGATTTTATCAAAAAGCAATAAATTTCATTTCCGTCAGATGCGATTTTCTTCTTCTCTCTCTTTATTCGCGTCTAATCTCTTCATTCAAAAATACAATCTCAAGAAACAAAATGAGTTTCTAGCACATGAAATGGGGTTTCAGATTTATGCATGTCTGCAGTACACATATCTCGTAATCGAGAATATATATATATATATGTATATATATATATAAAGTTATCACGATTATCGCGTAAAACTAATCAAAGCGAAATAAGCAAATTTGTTCTAGCGCGTTAGTCGCGGCTAATCAATTTTCAAACGTCGTAAATGTACTAAAACTAATTTCATTAAAAAAATAGGTTTTGATACATGTAGTTTATTGAAGAAACCAATCTCTGGCATTTTTCTATTTATAATAATAATTTTTTTTATTATTACTATACATTTTTTATATAAGAGATGCGCTTGCTTCTCGTAATAGAAGACTCTTGTGTATCGATTATTTGTTGAAAAGTAAAAAAAATAGTGAAATTAAGTGTTCGATCATTTCCTGGGATTTTATCGTAATGATTAGCCGTGTTACGGTCTTCGTTTATTTCCGTGTCAGATCGCAATGCGCTGAACAATTGGTCGTCAATATTCCGAAGCGTTGCTTTCGACAGATCGATTCTGCAACTACTCAATCTGTTCTATAACTTTCCGATAAGACGAACATAACTGTCTAATTCTGATTGATTGTTATCGATGAGACTTAAAATCGATTTTTTGTAATATTAGATAGATTATCTTCTTTTGATGGTTCTGAGACTCCGATATTATTCACGTTTTCCGAAGAATTCTTGTAAACCGTTTCATGCGCCGTTCAAATTGTCAGTGTGCTTTTTATGATCGTCAAAATTTGATAATAATTTGGGAAGAGAAGCGAGTGTACTTTCATGATTGATAGTTGTAGATTGATCGTTGTTACTTTGTATTTTTGAATTATCCGTGAACAGCAATTCGGTGTTTAATTTTTGATTGTTTCTCTCGTGTACGTTCGTCTTATTGGCATCAGTAACCTTTGATTCAATATTTTGATTACCGTGTGAACTTAATTCGTTGACTTGCGATCTCAAAGCGCTAATAAATTCTAGACCACTTTTCGAAATATCTTCGGAAAACTTCTCGGCAATTTGCAACGGCGTGTTGGTAAGATTGTGTGAAATAATTCGATCGAATAAATTCGTGTCATTTAGACTTGCCTGTAATTTTTCGAGATTGTGTGGAATAATTTGTTTGAATAAAGTCGCGTTACTGAAACTTGACGGTAATTTTTCAATCACCGAATTCACCACGTTTATGGCACTTGACACAATTTGATGTAACACAGTCGAGTTATTTGTAACTTGTGGATTTAAAATGTATTCTCGAATTTTGTCCAACGACAGATCAAGTACGTCACTCACATCGTCGAGTTTGCTCGACAGATTTTGCAGGCAGAGAGTATTGTTAACCCGCTCGCTCCTTTCAAGCGTCGATTGCAGCAAGTTATGTGTTTGTGCAAGAACTTTTTTTCCAGTACTTGTTAGATTGTTTATTAGCACGTGAGGTGTTTGCAGATTAAACGGATTGAAGAATCTTTCACCGATTTCATCTACTTCCGAGCTCTCGGAGTTCTGTGCGTCTGAATTGGAGTCACTCCCATTTGTAGTTGCGCTTTTCTCATCTGAATGCTTAAAGATTGATTTTTGCGAAGAAGTAAATACGTCGTCGTTATGTTCGACAGCATCGAACGACGTGCGATTAATCTTATTATATAACCGCTCACTCCTTTCGAGCGTTGGATTTGGTCGCGCCAAATTGCTTGTTTGTAAGAGGAATTTATTTTTAAATCTATCGGATGGCTCATTTATCGAAGTGCTCGTATTGATGTTTTGTAAATTAAATGAATTAAAGAATCTTTCAGCGATATCATCCACTTCTGTTGAGTTCTCAGAGCTCTGTGCGTCTGGATTCGACTTATTCGCGCTTGTAGTTGCTTCTTCCGTATTTGAATTGAAAATTGATTTTTGCTTAATGCCAGAACTAGACACTTCGTCATGCACGAAAGCGTTAGATGACGTGTTTTCAATTTTGTTTTCAAAATTGCTCGAGAATAAATGGCTTCGGATTTCGTTTTGAATTTCGTCAAATTGTTCCGAAATTACTTCAAGTGGCGATTGGATTCGCGAATCCTCGATCGTTGAAAGTAAATTATCGCGAGATTGATTACAATCGTGGTTTTTATCAGCTTGATTTCTTAAACTGATCAAATTGTCCGCTGTTCGCGTCGCCAGTTGCAAAAACAACTGCAAATACCTTTCGTTTTGAACAACTGAATTTGAGTCATCTCGCACAGTGTTCAGAATGATGTTCGGCGGCAAAGAATGTACCTAGTAAGAAAAAAATTAAAATTGAGTATACATATATATGCGCGAAAAATATCAAAAGATTTTATAGTTTTATAAATTTAAAAAAAGTGTTTTACCAAAAAAACCAACGCACTGATAATGATCAAAACCGTATTGTCCGGCCACATTTTACCATTTGGCTTGTGGCCATAAATGCAATCGTCTTATAAATATGACCACACAAATTGGTATTAAATGTTTTGATGTTGTTTGATTTTAATGTCGTCATATTGCGTCTTCAGTTTCGGGCACTCGTATCGACTTCATTGTCAAGGTTTCTGCTATTGCCGTTTAGACGATTTATAGCCTTGTCTTGTTTTTATCCGCACGGTAACTCATTACAAACCGTCTGTAGGTTGTTAATTAACATGACGTCGGCTGGCGAATGTTTCAAGATACAAGGACACAGCATGATTCTTTTCAAGAATTTCTTGAGCCAAAGAAACAAGATAATATCAAAGATAAAGCTGTGTAAAAATAATATGAAGATGATTTAGTAACTAATTTTTCATTGTCATCGAAACATTAATTTTATATTAATTTATTATTTATCTTATTATCTTATTAAATTTGTATTTTTTATTATTTATGTTATTATTAATCTTGCAATATTGCAAGTAACTGTGCGCACTTGCTTACATAATGAAATTACAATAGTTAAAAGTACAAGAAGTAACTTATTATAATATATATATATAAAGTTTAATTAAAGATACAATATCTTTTAATGAACAATTAAAGTGTACACGTCATTTGTGATAAGCTATCAGAATCATAAACTTGATCGTGTGTTCTTCACCAATCATTAATCGAGAACAAGCAGTCGAGTGGTCAGCAATTAAGATTTAATAAAAATTTCAATGCCACTTTATACGAGACAATTGATTCATTTGCACATTTTCTGCTCTATTACACGTACAAGTAAACATACTTGCGTCTACATAATTTCAATTGCATATATACACTGCGATAAACTTACTACTAAATAATAGATAATGAGAAAGTTCGGAGAAAACAACATGTGTGTGTAATCTTCGCATAATAAATAAGTGACATTACATTATAATTGTTCGCGTATTAAATGAAACACTTGTTTACGCGAAACATTTATTGCAGACGTCCGAAAATATTATTTCATATTTTGTTGAAGAGTAGCCAGAAAAGTTGCGCAACTTTCATCAGTAGGCAAACATTGCCCGAATGCTTCCAGTAGTAGCGGTTCTTCTTTCACAGCCATCTCGTAATCTCGGAACGATATTTTACCGTCGTGATCGACGTCGAGTTTCTTCAAGGCCATTTCTGACAAATCCTTTACACCTTCGTCCGGATCCTCTTCACCGGGTTGCTTTATTAAGCAATTTCTGTGAGTGCGCGAAAATTTGTAACGATTATAAATAATTCTGTGTAATGCGAGTAAAAAAACTCACATACTAAATAACAACGTATTGCTATAAAAGAAATACGGATCAAATATCAAGTATCAAAATTGTAACTTACTTAAGTAAAAGAAAGATTTCGTCCTTCGTAATGTATCCGTCGTTGTTCAGATCGTATACACGAAAGCACAAGCTGATTCTCTCACGCAGATTACCTCGTAAGAACACATCGAGTCCCATAATCCATGGCTCCAATCTGATTGCGCTCTCGATTTCTCGATCCCAACAGCAGAACAAACGCTCTATCAATATGTCTTCCGTGATCACGTGAAATGTGTTGTGCAGGAGTTCTCGAAAAATAGTCCTATCGATTCCCTAAACGATATTTTGTAGTGTTGTATACGATTTTATACGCGTATAATTTTATTTTTTATTTTATATATATTTCGTGTAACATATTTTGTTAATACATGTTTTCTATCTTTTGTTTCCCGAATGTTTACGACAATTAACTCTTAATTGCAACAGACTTAATTACCTCAACAGCCGGTCTGGATTGTGATGTCTTACTGGCAGACATCGATCGTCCAACTTGTTGTTGATTGGAATTGACAGTCAACTTCTTGTAAAGCTTACAGAGATTATCCAATTCCGTTCTATTCTGAAAATTTACACTTTAACACGAAAAACAACTGATATACACATGCAACGTATTTAATATAATATTGATAATGGAGATAAAATAATTTAATAATTTTAACAGTAAAATAATATTTGAACATTAACGGAACATTTCACGCGTTTTCACAAACTTGCCTGGAGAACTTAGTTTTTTTTTTAAGAGACTCAATCACTCTCACGATGTACGCGGAGTTTCTGCCGCCTCCGGCCTCCGGCATTTTTTTGCGGCGTCTTCTTCTTGGCGATGATTCGTTTTTGCCGGACGCGGCGGAGATCTGTCGCTTCGAGTTCACGGACGTTTTGCGACCGCTAGTCAGGAATAAGGAAACGCTCTTCATAAGCGTCGTGCCGGCACGAACGCTGATGCCGGTAGGACGCTCGGCGCCGACGCCAACTTTGACGTCCGGCTGATTCCTTTCAGTCGGCGTGGCACTTCGTCGTTCAGACATCCCAGCTCGATGATCGAAGATTCGAACAAAACATTTAACAAAATTTAACATAACAAATTAAAATTAAAATTTTAATGTGACATTTTGTTGACAGCATATTAAAGTTTTAACATCAACGTTTTTTGAAATTTGAACAAAAACAAATTACTGTATAAATTTTTAATACAGTTGTGGAAACCTGTTGACAATATTATACGCACTTTTCCAAAAAATAAATAAAACATTTAGCGGTATAACATTGAGAGATATATTAGGCCTTTCGTCTCGAATACATTGAACAGAACAATCACGAATGTAATAAAAATGCAATTCTGTTTAATAAAAATGCAAAAACATATAAGAAACCGTTAGCACGAAATATACAAGTCGATTGATCAATAAGAAATAATTCACGATGAGCAGAAGCTCTTTATTCAACGACGAAACTGAATATTGATTGGCCAATCACAGTTCATCACCAGAGAAGCATTAAAGATTGCATTTCTCTCTCGTGCAACCGAGTTATTATTATTTATGATCATATTTGCGTAATTTACTTGCAACATTAGTTTGGTGGACTTCGTCGGCGAATCTCGTGTGCATCTTCGTGGCACGAATAATATTTCAATGAATTTAGATAGGTGCATTTATGCGCGCAACTACACGCACAGGGAAAGAGAATAAAATTTGCATGAGAAGAAAGATGGCCGAGATTTACGATACAATGCGTAAGGTGATTTAGTCGTTGCGCGCGTATACGTATGTGTGAGAGATAAACATATAAGTAATTTAACTTAACTACAAATTACACACAAATATATACAATTAATATTAACTTTTACTGTGTGTGTATACACAGTCAAATTGTTGAAATTTACTCGGAAAAGTTTTACATTTCGAAATTATTGTGTGCGATTAAGTTAAACTGTAAAAACTTTTACCCATCGGGTAATGAATACGACTCACGCAAATCGTGTTCGAAACAACCTGCGCGTTATTTAGAATAATGTCATTATTTAGGACAATGTCTGCATACGGTGTCTGCAGGCGGAATATCAGACAAATTTAGAAGCGTTTAAGCGCACACTTTTATTTTCCAATTTCTGCAGATAGCAAAACAGTGAGATCGCTTACAGTGGGGGAGTGCTTACATTCTTCTCTTGATACTTAAACACTTAAAATATGAAAACTTTTTACGCGAACTTATGATAAGGTCGCTTGAAATATGAGACACAAATTTCTCTAAAAAAGCCATTATTTCGAATAATGCATGTCTTATCTTCGAGTCTCGTTATTTCCTAACAAAACGTCCTGCATGCACCTAAGATTGTTCCCACGAGCGCAAGAGAACGATTTCATTACACGAAATCGCAATTTCGGAAAGCATAACAAAAGTAGGTGAAACTCCTTTGCCGTACATTTTTGACTTTTTTTACATTTTTTATATCTGTGCTTTATTTGTATACAATAAAAATTTTGTTAAATAAAATTGCAATTTACATTTTCACGATATTCTGACGGACTCGTAATAATATTAATTTTATAAACTGAAAATTCAAACGTAAGTCTAATTTTACGAGAAGAAAAAAATAAAGTGAGACAGAGAGACAAAAAAAGTAAGGAGATTCGGAGTTGATAAACGCGTGAACTAGAATAGTACTAGTCAAATTAGATCGCGCCGCGATAATCGACATTTCTGTTTCCCGAACTAACGATTCTCAATTTAACTTCTCCAAGTTGTCGGCCTCGCGATTGACGTGAGGCCGATGCATGTGGGGGTTCTCGCTTCAATCTACAAATGTTGATCAAAAACCAAACTGATACACGTGCAAACGTAACCATCGATTTCCAAAGTTTGTGAAATTATTTGACGTGCGTGAAATCATTTTATTTTGTCGAACTACATTTACAATATAATTGTGTACAACGATAAATAATTATCAACAGCAAACAACTACACATTTATATAATTATAATTAATCGTAAGAATATATTGTCGCTAACATTTTTCCACTTTCCAATTAAAGGTATGTAGCTCTTGCGAAGATGTGACTCCATCTAGTCATTATTATCTGTTCTGTTGTGCAATGACTTATATTAAAGTGTGACGAAAAATGATTAAAACAAATTCAATGATTTTTGTACGCTCAGTATGCGTGCAATATGATTGACAGATTGAGGATTAAATCGGGAAAAAAACTTACCGATGACAAAGAATTGCTTCCCGTCGCGACGAGAGCTTCGTCGTCAAAGGCGACTACGTTTTATCGATCAAACGTATCAAGTGACGAGACTTAAAAAACACTTTAACTTAACACGACATCCAGCAACAGTTCATATATATATATATATATATAAGCGCACATATATTACGCAGGTATAAAAATATTTTAACGTGATAATCACACACAAGAGTACAATAAGTAAGAGTACAATAAGTAATTTATTTATTGAGTACGCATTTACGTGTATCCTTTACTCCATTGTCGTACATGTAAACATTTATGTAATTACTGTTTTTGTTTTCATTATATTAATGTTTTAATAAAGTAGCGCACGTATATTTTCTATTCTCAGTATTTCTTTTAGACGATCGATTTATTCGGCTGATTGACGGTCGAGTTGTCATCATTAAAATTTACTTTTGGAATCAACGTCACGTGATGTTTTCTAAAATGTTCAAATTACAATTACTAAGTAATCGATATCTAATAATAACACACACTAGCAGATTTTTACAACTCTCGTATTACAACATTCTTACTTGCATAACTTGTCCAGATATTTTTTGATTTGCGTTACTTGATTCTGAATGTTAAGTAACATATTAGTCATCCTTTCCTTCGACGCAAAACCTGCAGCTTCGTTATATCCTTCAGAACCGCGTTCTGCGATCAGTTTTAACCGGTTAAATAGTTTTTGTATTACGATACTTGCAATATTTATGAGTTGGTTTAAAAATTTTTAATCTTGCGATTATTATTTAAAATTCACAATTTTGTTACATAAAAAGCTATGTATATTTTTTGTATCATCAAATGTTTTTGAAAAACTTACTGATTCGAATGTGCTTGTCAGTAATATCACCGTCCTGATAAACAATATCGATGTTCTTCATGGTATCGATTATATCTTTCATATTATTAATACTTTTGATCACTGATTTGTTATTTAACGCCTGCAATATAGAATCCGTATCGTTGCTAAACGTAACGTATATGAGTTTCACTTTTGATTGTTCCTTGACGAGCCGATCAATAATAGGTTCTAATTGATTTAAAAATTGTATCTAAAATATAATAAAATATGTTTATCCGTGTAGACAATCATAAACTATATAATGTAATTAATATAATTTAATTATATTGGAGTGACCTCTTGTTTACTGTGGTTCTTGGTTTTCCTTAATTTTAATCCAAAGTTTAGAAGCTTCACGAAGTTCTTTTCACACGACACAATTAGCTCTTTCAGTTGTTCCAACGTGTTCGCAGAAGCTGTCTCGTCTGTCAAATTTAAAGATTTATACGAAATATTAATATCCGTTTGATTTGTTTCAGATCGAATGCGTGAATATTTAATATCTTATCTATGCGACATATATGTCATGCAAATCCTACCTGCATCCCTCGCGCTTGAAATCGTTGACGTAACGGAATGGCAATGCGTCTAAAAAACAATGCGATTAATAATTTATGTTAGACAAATCAACAAATAAAAGACACGACGATCGGACAATTTTAATTTAAGAAACTTACTCCGATTACGACAGCGGCAATTATAAGAGCGAGAAATTTCATTTTTTTTTTCACTGATTCTTGATGTCGAGAACTCGATCACTTCGATTGGTAGAAATCTATTAAAGCCGTTTGATAGATTCAGCCGTTTTATAGGCTTCGTATGTTGGTGAAAACAAAGGCAACCGCGTATGCAACGTTTTCCAAAACATTGAGAAGAAACATCCGGCAAAGAATAAACGAACGTATCGCAGCGCGTCGATAGCGCAAAGTTACATGAACATACGTACATACGTAGATTTACGTGATTATTTAAAAGATCGCAATTGTGTTTTTTATATTAACGAAAATGTATATCTTTTTGCTTAGATTTTACCTGTTTGAATAGAGTACATTATGAATAATGGAACTGACTTTGACGTCACGCAACGACAGTGATGTGCTTTCTTCGAATTTGCACGGAATGACAATCATTTCAAATAATCTATTCCAATGGCAGTTTCTACGCCTAAAACTGTTACTCACGATCAAGAATATTGGACAAAGGGACGTGCGGATTGAGTAATAAAAATCGTGCTCGCGATAGTTTGAATTATTCATTTTTTGCGCCAAAGAGTGACAGAACATACACAAAAAGAACATATTGACGTTCAATAGTATATTAAAATAAAAAAGTTCGCGAGTAAAACAATATACTAAATTGTAATAATCGTAATTTATAAAATTTACGATATTTAATAGATATATTAAATACTACGGGAATGACAGACACTTTAAAAATTTTTCTTTCTTAAATAACTTTATTATACACAAAAACAAGCGTACACACACATTACAATACGCGTATAGATAATCAATAAAACAGTGGTCACTTTTGTAGATCCAATTTTATCGTCCCCATCCACGGGAGCTGTAATCAAAAAACGCATAAATATTAATCATTTTGAATAAAACGCATTTGTGATACGAGAACATGTGAATAAAGACCAGAAAAAAATATTAGGATGTTCAATAATTAGAATAAACATAATTTTACTAAAGTTGTTTAAATTATTGATAATTGATTGTAATATTACTTATTAATTATTTAATATATATTATAAAATAGTTTTAATAAATTCAATCTGGTGGAACTTCTTTGGAATAATTTTGCAATATTTACCCGGAAGTAGCAAACGACTTTGCGAACGAAGCACTGCCGAACGGCGAGCTTATAGAACCAGATTTGGCACCGCTGTTGGCCCATGAGCCGCCACCACCGCCGTATCCACCTCGACCACCGCATCCTCCTCCACATCCTCCGTATCCTCGATGACCTCTTCCATAACCACCGCCACCGAAACCACCACCGAAACCGCCACCGAAACCGCCGCCACCGCCACGATATGCAGCTCTGACTATTCTTTTAAGACCTTAAGAAAGAGTTTTAGTTTGATATTTCTAGTCAAAATATAAAAAAATTTTTCACATAATAAATATCAGTAAAAATCCATCCCACAATAAACACAAAATACTAATATTCTTTTTAAAATTAGAAAACGACAAAAAATCGATTGTCGATTTTCTTTTCGCACGTTTTCGCCACTTGCACTTCTGTGTTTTCACGATCGGTTTTGCGTTTACCTTGTGGTTGCTGATCAGACGACGGGAATGCAACTGCAATCGCAGCGAGCAGTGCAACCAGCAAAAGAATTGCAGCAACCCTTGACATTCTGTCAATAATACGTACACACTGTGAGTGTTCAGTGCTAAATGACGACGAGAAAACCAGCTAAGGAGTTCTTATATATATCCGAGCATTCGTCATCTTTCTGGGATATCCCGATAACGCGCGTTTCATACAGGTACAAAATGGATAGGTACTTTCAGACCACGTCGAATCGGCCGCATATCATTAACACTGACGGGAATAAACTTTTTTTTTTTTATTACGCGCGGCAGTAGGCTGATGATGCGCTCGTCAGCGTTGATTTCCTGCGCACAATCAGTAGAATATTATTTCGTTATTAGCTTTTCGAATGGATGATCGAGCTGTCTCGAAAAAAAAGTTGGTTATGATAGCACTACAGTCGGGATAAAGAAGACAAACGCGCGGGAGAAGGCTTTGTCCAGTTTTTTATCCGCAAACATTAAAAATTATACCAAGATTTAACTGAACATTAATAATATGCAAAATTTGACATCCGGAATATAAAACGTGTTATTAAGTGTGTTAACATGTTTTAATTCTCATTTTTTTGTATTTATTTTTGCACGCGGTTGCACAACCAGATGTTCAAAACATCATTTATCTTGAACTGTCGTCATACGGCATATAATCGTATGACGACAGTTTCTCTCGATTTGCCCAACATTAACTACACCTCGGACTTCCTAAATAGTCGCACGGTATAAAAACCGTGAAATCCCGCCTGCTTGAGAAGATTTATTAACATTAACCGCTTTACGGTTAACCGCTTCGGTTAGCCTTGATTTTTCTTTGATCTTCACAATCGTAGGTCGATGAACGAACACACTGGGAATCCCATTTAAGCAGTGCTAATAGTGCTAATTTTTTACTACTATATTGAAGGTCTGTGTTAAATAGACAACGCGCAATTTTTTAGTCGTCTTTTCTGAATGATCAATTTACTTGAAAATAAAACTTTAGTTTTTTTGATAACAGATTCAGATTAGATTTCGAGACTATTTGCATTTGTTTGCGCAAACATTTTAACCATATTGACATATTAAATGTCGTTTGCGACTAGTCTTAGTAAACTGTGCAAACACGTCGCGCAAGCAAAACCATTTCGGTATAAATTACGTCAACCTGATAATTCTTATGAAATTGTTTGTCTTCGGCTTCGTATTTCTCATCGAGACTACTTGAGGATATCTCGCAGTTATTGTCACCAAAGTCATTAAAATAATTCTTTTATGTTATTTTGCAGTGATTTTGATGCAACACACACAAAAAAATAATATTATGCATAATTTTTTAGGGCATTTAAAAGAGATTTAATTATTTTGAGTATATCATTATATGTGTTTTGAGAGTGAGAAAATACTATTTATTACACAACTGGGGATTCAAAGAGTATAAAAAATATCACACAAACTTGTATTTTAATATATTTTTATTTCTGCGTTAAATTTACGACATAATTACATAGCCTGTCGAAAGAACATTTATCTCTGTTTTAAGAAATATAGTATAATTGTGTTATGTCACGTAATGAATTGTAATAATAATCTTTTATTCTACACGAGAACGCGCAAACGTGATGAGATGAAACTATATTAATTCTTTACATACTACTATAAATTATAGCAGTAATTATTAAAAGGATGCTAGAAATATTTATTTTAAGAACCAAAGTTGAATCTAAATTTACACGAACTTACTATTATTGAGACGATAATTGCCTAAAAAATCGCAAAATTAAGTAATTTACTGAAAAAAAATTGAAACATTACTGAGCAATATAATGATTTAAAGCTCACTCTAATTAAAACACTAAGAAAGAAGAGTCACGAGAATTTGAGTTAGACTTTACAATAAACTATTACTACCTTACGTAATAAATTGCACAATCTTTAAGACTTTAAATGTTATTTTAAATTAATTCCTGATTGTTTCACCAAAGATGAGTAACTAGAAATTATTTTATCTTTAAATATTTTGATTTTTGCTAAAGGCAAATAAAATGACAGTTTTGGTTTTTATCTTCCGAATTATCTTTCCGAACGATAATGTAAAACTCAGTTCTTCAATGCGATACATCGATCGTTTTAGAAATTATTCTTCGTATGGCTGCGGGCGTCGTTTCTTCCTAACAAAAGTGCACAGAGAGGAAACTATTAATGCTTACATTTAAAAAATACATTTTTTTCGAATTTGTAGATTTTCCTTTAATGCATTAACAAGAAACACATAATTTACCCAGTAGGAGACCCGCCATAGGCCGTAGCTACCGAACTGGCTACGCCACCCCTTCCTGTGGAGTAACTATTCGCGATGGCCGTGATTGCGCCGGGTGGAGAACCAGACGAACCAGCGCGAGTAGCTACTCTCGGGAAACTGAAGACCATTGGAAAGAAATTATTCAGATTGGGATATCCCTGTCGTCTCTTGTTGCCCTTAAACGGCACGAACGGCACAATTGGCGCCTCATCTTCTTCATCCACTTCGCCTTCGTCGTCGTCGTCGTCGTCGTCCTCGTCCTTGACAATCACCGGTGTCTTGTGCGTCTTTTTGTTGCGATGCACTTTTGGCCGGGACGCTTCCGTACTGGCTGGTTCTTCGTCCGACTGTGCGATCTCCGTGGTCAGCGGAATCTGTTCTGGCTCGTGATTTTCCTGGTTTACGCGTTTGATGTGTTATAAGAAAAAAGTCAGGAGACTTTTTTATTTATGTTGTTGAGAACACGTTAATAATTTTACTAATTTTATACCTGGGGAGTCAAAGAATCTTGTTGACGATGTTGCTGTTCTTCTTCTTCTTCTTCGTGATGGTGATGCTGCTCGTGATGCTGCTGCTGCTTGTGCTGATAATGTACCTCGTTCTGATAATGATGCTCTTGAGATGGCGGTTTCTGATCCTTTCCGGGAGCCGGTGCCGCCTGTGCCTCGGCACTGGAAATTTCCGGTTCGTCGATCGGTTCAGGGCCGTTCTTGAGATGCGGCACACCGCCGAAGAAGGCTTCACCGCTTACGGAGTTTCCTTGCGCGAAAACGCCTGTTGCCTGACCGCCGTTATTCGTGCGACGAATCGGTCTGTAATATCCGGTGAACATCATCGCCCTTTGCGGATAAGGATGCACGGCCGTTCTCTTTTCTCTCAGAAACATCACGGGGTTACCGTAAGAGTCCAACATGACGGAAACTGCAAAATTGCGATCCAAGTTCATAAATTATGAAATAAAATAAGCATAAAAGTATAAGGTAGAAAAACAAGACTTGTATAAAAAATGTGTAATATTTTTTGTAAAAAATATACAACTGTGTTAAACTTTTTTCGTACAAAAACTGTTCGGAAAACTACTTAAAAAGCTAGAAGGACGTTTAATCTTGACGCTTACTAGGTTCGGCTGGAATCACCCTCGATTCCGTCATCGCGATCATCGATGCGGTCGCAACCAGAACAAAACTCAACCAGCCAGCCATCCTCGCGAATTCCATTCTCTCCGAGTTTCCGCGTAAGATTTCTTCCCCCGTTATAGGTTTATCGAGAGACACGAACTTTCTTGCGAGTAGACGAACTTGAATGGAAAATCCCGGAGGATCAACCGAGTGGTTTACTCGCACAGAGATCCGGTCGATCCGCGTAATGCACCAACTTTTTGCACAATCCTGCTAGTTTCTCGTCGGCGCAATCGCTTTTATACCATGAAATACACGGACGCGATGGAAAGAACAAACACGATGAGACATGGGGGTATGTGTAGAATCCGTTGGTGTACACATGGGGGATATGTAGGACCGAAGAAAACCCCCACCCAGGCTTTGTTAGGTGGTCGCCTGTACGGTCAGGCTTTGCCGTAAAGCAAACGCACGTATCGTTCAGCACTACGTGATCGTCATAACCGATGCGACATATGCTGGATCTGATGCATTAATTGTGATTCGCGCCGATCTCAATCTGGATTCGCGGGATCGATACGGGGATGATCTATTGTGTTTGATCAAAGTAGTCTTTACATAAATTCGTCAATAATATACACGCGCGCAATATTTATATAATTTAACATTCTATTAAATTAGAAGCAAAGTTTTCAGCTCTTCGAATTAAGAAAAAAATAATTTTTTGCGGTTTTAACTTTAAACAAACAGCTTGTATATTTTTATCAGCTTCTTTTATTATAAACGTCTGATTATTACTGTGAATGTTATGTTTCGCACAATTTTATATGAGTGGCAAAGGAAAATACACGATGTTCCATCAATCCTGAGATCAGAAAGAGTCGGGTCGCCTCGAGACTTTTGGCTCATGACTGAAACAAAGTATTTATAATGAATTCGCTTGAGAAACGGCAGGAATATGAATGGGCGGGTGGTTGACGAATGTCGCGGAGGTCCCGTCATTTTTCCTCTTTCACGACGTGAGTTACTGAGTCATCTCGATCGAGGCGAGATAAAGAGATCTAGCGTTCCAAACAGAAACTCGAAGAAAGATTCATACATTTTCAGTTGTTCTAAAAATACACGCAAGGTATCCAAGAAACTAAAAAGTACTAGTCGCTTCGCCGATTATTATCTCAGGCAATACCTGATTTAAAAAAATTCTCGAATGACATCACTTTGAAGGAATTCTGTTTACAGGCTGATTGACGAAGAAAGCTTTTAAATTAGAAGACCCCTCGTTTCAAAGAGAACGTGTGAGTTCGTTTCTCATCGCTGTCTTTGACGCTGAAGATGACGGAGCGCAGAAGAGACAAGTTGACACATCAAGGCGGATCCGATGTGAAGGAGCGAGAAGTGAGTTTTACGATTCCGAACACGCCGGCCGCGGCCACCGCCAACTGAACTCTTACGGACTCCGTGATTGTTCCCTAAGAATTATTGTCGCCTCTGACCAGTCGTATCCGCGAACGCTTCGAGCGAGTATGACTGACATAATATTAATATTAAGAGAGATTGCAAGAGAGAGTTACGTCAAACGCACGTCATATTATTCGCACGCGTGATAGACGAAGCATTTATTCATTCGAAACATTCATTCCATCGATAAAAATTTCTTTGTTTGATGCAAAAATATATAAACTGTGTTAATAAAAAGAGCGTAGAATATAAAATATGTATTTTTATTAAAATGTAATTTTTAACTGCAAATTAATTTTCTTACAAAAAAAATGTTAAATTTACGAAATTCTATTGATGTATGACGTTTGAATTTTTTTTTGTGAAGCATCACTTGAAAAATTAAAACTAAATATATATCTGAATGCATTTCAACGTGAATCTCAAGTCGGAGAATCGTCTGTGCGTCTTATGCATTTGAGAGATTTCGCGGATTGATACGACAATTGCGATTCCGGGGCACGCAATAAAAGCATATTGTAACGTAACTATACGAGTACGGAGAAAAGCGCGTTTGGGAATGTGCTGCGGAGATTGATTGTGATGCTTTTTGGAAAAGAAGCGGCGGTGCATACGAAAAAAATATCTCGCACTGAGAATAAGATGTATACGAATTTTGCGATATGCCGTACCGTACAAGACGCGATGCGCCTACCGTACACCTTTTGTCAGACGCTGCTCTTTGATACACCCGGTCACGCTCGAAAATACGATATGCGTGACTTGGAAAGCAGTGCGTTTCGGTGTTGATTCATGAAATAACACGAATTCATGATGCGCAGAACCGTCTGGTAGCGGTATAGAAGCGCTACAATCGATAAACTACTTACATAAGTCGCGAATTATAATTACTTTTTTCAAAAATTTCGTTTCGCAATTTACGTTTAACTTACGGTCTAGATTAAAATTTAATTCAGATTTTGATCGAATTGAAATAATGACGCGCAGTTCGGAGCGACGGTCCACAAAATCTGAAGAGGTAAACGTTACAAAATGGGTTCAATGATCGCGCGATACCGACTTGCAAATTTCTAAATGAGAAACGTACAGCGGAAACATTTTAACATTGTTGAATTATAATTGTTTGTCTGAGTATTGCTTAAAATTCTCGAGGCATATATCCGACATGATGTATGTGCTCATAAAGATACAAAGTATGCACAACACACACATCAACGTACCTTAATTTTAATCGTTACAAACTGTTGTACAAGCTAGTTGTTATAAACGATATCAATAAAATAAATTACAAAATAGTTGTGTTTGAAATAAAATTTTTTTTATTTGATTGTTTTCCGAAACGTTGAAACTTTTTGTTTGCGTTGCATTCAATAACTGTTAAGCGACACTTCCCGCACGCAATATTTTCTCTCTTTCTTTCAAACAAGCTTCGACTATTATTGCATATTAATTTTATAACCGCGTTTGTTTGCTCACTCTTGTTAAACAATAAATTCATTCTCGTGTGAAGCTACGGCAAAGTTCTCTTCGAATTATAAAAGTAGAGAGATCCCAACAGAATTCCCAGGATTTCGCGATACGCTCGATTCCCGCTTTCGCGAATATCTACGCCGGGTTTGCCGACGGAATCTCATTTGGTGTCATCGTGTAGGCTGAATTAAGATTAGCCAATGTCGAATTACACGTGCTGTGCAACGGCATACGTGTTCAGTCCCGTCGATCGGCTCACGTGCGAGAGAACCGTCGGAACGTGAGACACGCGGATCGTACCACTTCGATAGCCTCGCCTAACTTCGAGATCTTGCCGTGCGATCGCCCCTGGCAAATGATGCTAATTAATTCGTGACGCATGTCAAATCATCGGTACTGATCTTGTGTCGTCGCTTGACGTTGCATCGATCCAAAAATAGAAAAGGTTAAAACAACCACACGTACAAAATACTTCTTCACAATCGACATCAAAACTCTCTTAAATATCTTTGCATTATCAATTTTTTTTTATTATTTGTTTGTCTTTATTTTATAGAAGAAATGTATTTAGTAAAAATTGTTTAATTTTTGTGTAACATTTGTAAAATCGGATAATTAAAATTGTTGTATAAATTTTACTATTATAGTTTTTATATTTGTGTGTGTGTTTTACGGTGCATATGTACATTTGTGTAAAATGCCTGGAAATGTTTTGCGGATCGTGATCGATGGTTTTACAATAGAATGCGCATAATGTGAAGATTTCCGTCTCAGTTTCCAGAAAAACGTCGACTCTAGAGACGTACCGTGTATAGACAACTCTTTGCGATACTCACGATCTTATTTGGAAACGAATCACGGAGAGCAGTCCGGTAAGTCTGGTGAGTATACGGCACGCGGGTTGAAAGACCGCGTAACATCTCGCCTTGCGAGGATTGCGTTCACTTTGCAAATTTTCAAAATAAAACGGGGGAGAGGATTCGTACGTCGGTATTGAATTGCGGTATTATACGTGTTGTCTCTCTTAAATCGCGTATCCTTTTCAGTGGCGTAGCCAGAATGAAAGAATCGGATCGATTCGTACGTCAATTCCGTAAAATTCGAGAAAAAAAACACAGTAAAATAATGACAAACAAATAATAACAATATTGTAAACTTGGATAAAAATAAAACCATAAATAAAGAAAAGTCCATCTCCCAGATCATATCATTCTAATTTCTTAACTGCGCCATTGACGATGCTGCTGATCAGCAGTCAGTGGACCGACGACAAATGCCTGCTTGAGATTTAGTGTTCAGCTTTTCCAGGGAAGACATAAAATAGTCGCAGGTGCACTGTCGGTATAAACGATATAAACGCCCGCGCCTATATAGTGTTACACACGCATGACGAGCAATACGGACTCCGCATCGCGATAGAGACTCAATGCAAATGCGAGATTGGGGCCGAAGACGAAACACCTGCACCCGGTCCATTCTCCTCGCTGCCGGAGAAAATTGATCGGCTGGATTTGTATTCGCACGGTGCGACACCACTTCCGGTCTGGATAGATGCATATATGTATACGTATACGAGATTGAGATCATTTGACGTTGGCTTTAACACGAGAAATGTTGCGCGCTTTAAGAAGAATTTTTCATATTATTTATATATTTTGAAAAAAATATAAATTAGATAAAGAACAAAACAAAAAACAGCAATTAATTTCTAGAAATCTTACAAACATAGTTAATGATTATAAAGTTTAAATATTTATAATCTTTTATGTAAAAAACATTTTATTCAGCGGAAATTGAATCTTCAAAACTTTCACGTGTTTTCTGCTATTTTCTGTCGATTTGAGTAAATATTTATAAAGCTATAAAAAGAAGAAGAACGTGCGTTTGATTCTGTAGTCTTAAATCGACGTCGTATCTTGTCTTACCACGTATAAATATGGCATATTGTTGTTTGCGTGTGGTAAAGTCGAATCAGAGGTATGACGAACGAATACGTCAGCGCACATGCGAGTCTAGCCACGAAATCACCATAAAATATATGGTGCTAGTCGAACTCAATGTTCGGAATACGAAATTTCCCTGATCTCCATGCACCAAGCGGCGAGTTGTTCGTAACGTTACAACTGAGCCGTAAATCAAAAACTCAAGAGTCTTCCGACACGCAAGTGATGCAAGAAGTTATGATTTTTTTTTTTTTCATATGCAGATGAAACACACCAGCTCACACCGGACGCAGAATACAATTCCATTTGTCACTGTGACAGGAATTCACGTACGGCAATTTATTTTGCGTCATTGTTGTTCATGCTTGTTAAGATTAATACGTGAGAAATGTGCAACAACGATTGTAGAGAATTATAAATTTGTTTTTTTTTGTGTCAATACTTATAAAAGTGTATATTTATTTAAATGAGATTCTGAAGATTGAAAATATGTGTAAAATACGCACAAATTAAGGAGATAATGTAATCTTTATATCTTTTAACTGTTGATGTTAAAAATAAGCAAGCAACATAGCAACATAGCAACATCTTATGTTGTTTGACGCTATTTTTTGTAAGTCTCGATAAAAGCTGTTTTGTCATTTAATGATGACACGTGTAAAGTTATATCTTTTGTTCTTGATTACGTGATAAAAAATCTAGAATTAGATTCTTTTGTGAATTTTGTTAGAAACTTAGTATATTATTATAGATTTGGTTTTTTATTAAGATGCTCTTCTGTATACAATTTGAAGTGAAAATAGACTTAAAAACTTTGGGACTTTTAGGAAGTGATATGTTGGAAACTCGAAATGAGGTAGCCAGAAGTGTTATGACACAGAAAAATTTTTATTATTCTTTTTGTTACATGAACCGTGGCCTAAAAGTTCATCGAAAGAGGTGTGATCACAGATGAGGGTGTGGAGGGTCGTGCGGTTGTCCCCGGAATAGAATTTTCACCGTTTCCGAGATTTCAGCAAGTATCCCGCGACGCCCAAATCCAAATACCTGAAATTACTAAATCTACGTAATCTTTAAATATATTATTTATAGATATAAATATATATTAATGCACAATATCCAAATGAATTGAATGTAACAATGACGAAATTGAAGCTGGCGTTAATTGAAGTAAGTAAAATTAATTAGACTTCGTAACTTCAAATGTTAACCATTTTTTTAGTTGTTCATTTACCTCCTTCGCGTTATAGCAATGCCACGTTTCTCTCTTTTTTCTGGCGTTATACGGCTTCCATCGGCGGAAACAAGTCTAGATGCAGTTGCAGTAGGTTTTTCAGGTGGACCAGTAGTTCCTGATGGTACGTTCGATAATAACTTGCCTTGACGATTTTCTTTTGATTTCCTTCTTACATTTAAATCCGACGACACGACAATTTCATCAAATGTTTGGCCAAAAAATGCTGCACGTGATTAAGAAAAGAGTTAACGAAATCGTAAATTTTCTTAAGTTAGACACATTTGAGCTAAACAATAAAAAATAATTATTTTATTGTATTTACTTACGTTTTTCATTAGATGCGGTCCCTTGAGCATTAATAATAAGACAGACCGAACTGAGTATCAAGAATGCCAAAACTTTTATCATTTTGCTGCAGAAATTTTGTATGTAAAAACCGAAAGTTTTGATATCCTGTATAAACAAATAAAGAAAACAATAGGTAAAATATAAGCGTCAATAGATTAATATAGTATAAGTATCTAGGTATAATTTTTATAATTACTTTACTGTTAATATGTTTAAAAAAATAATTTGAAATATGCAACGCTAAACCTACTTGAAATATTACGAGAGAATAAGCGAAGAACTTCAATTTACGAGCATGTATCCATATTATAACTAAATAGACATTAGAAATTACACTGTAAATTTGACAGAAAAATGATATACTCTAGCTGATTATTATTATTCTTGCATCATTGCAGTCAAGAATTTTCCGTGCTTATTGTTAGGGTTAAAAAAAAAGATCGTTAAAAGTTCTTCGGCTGGTGAGATTTCGTAATCACTTCGTAAGAACGCGAGTTCGAGGAATTACTAACTGAATCACTTTCTAGAGCAGTCACACAACACATTGAAATCAGAATCTTACGTAAAAGCGGGAAGATTGTGCAATTGCATAGCGTTATCGCGACTGAACGTTTGCGCACGCGTTGACATTATAAATTTCACAGAAGAACATTATAACTCAATATTTTCAAACTCAGTGCAGTTTTGTTACTAAAATTTTACAAATAGAAAATTACATAGTCGATTTTTCTTCTTACATTCATAAAGTTCTATTCTTGTTAACAAAGTGTCAGAATCATATGTACGTATGTAGATGATTTGCCAAATTAATTCTAATTAAGTAATCACGTCTCAATCATTCATTGTAGCGTAGTTTAGTTCTCACATTCTGAACATATTTGATGTTCACGATTTGTGAACGTCGCTTCGAAATCGGTAGGCAAAAAATAAAATCGAACATTGTCTCTCGAACGAGAAAGTGAAGTCAGAAGAATTCGACACAACGATTAACTCCTACTGTCACTGCTACTTTCGCGCGAACATCCTTGTATGCGACCTCGCGAAACGACAGAACGAGCCTTCGAATCGAATGACGCGGGGATTTCACTTACTTGGACCAAGGAGACCTCGGACTTAGCACTCAGTACATATAGCTCAAGTACAATGTCTCGACTTACCGACGATATAAGTTGAGGATACTTTCCGAGTCGACAACCGCACGAGAAATGCGAGCACATTGGCGCGGGAGCCTTCAAGACAGCATCGCGGATTTGCTATAGTGCGTGGAGGCCAGGAACAGGCCCACGGGCACCACCAGGAGGAGGTACTTTAAAGGCGACATATACTGTAGTCTGCGTTGCACTGGCCGGACCACTTTCTATTTCATTTTTTCCTCTCGATTCACTCCACCTCTTTCTCTCTTTTTATCTTCCCTCCCGATTCTCTGTCTCTCTCTTTTTGCTCAGACGGAAGGACTGGTTTACCGGCTGGCAGGGCCGTAGGTGTCCAGGAGCGGCTAAACAATGGCTAACGACAGGGCGGACCTTTAACGAGCCTCTTTGAAGCGTCTTGGACATGTCGTGAACGTCACTTCTTCAGGGTGCACGTAGCTACAATCCACAATTGTCGTCTTAGGTCGATGATCTTTTGAGAAGATAATCTCTCTCTTTCTCTTACAGAGAATAAGGATAGATGTGTTAATTTTAAGAACTTCAGATAATAAATTCGATATAAGTAATTTCGTTGCAGTGAACAAATTTATGAACAAATAAGAAAGATAAATAATAAGAAAAATTTTAAAGATAAAAATGTAATTCCGCTACAAATAAATACAAGTTTATGCTTACAGTAACATACAAGCAAATAACAATATATATTATTTATTTATTTTATGTGCATATAAGTATAAAAAGTCACATCAGTATATTTAGTTAAAAGCAAATATTTGCTTTTAACAAACATGTGAGTATAGTACAATATTTCCATTTTCTTTGCTGCATGTTGAGCTTCTTTTGACGAAATATTCTCCCACAAACGTTCACACGCTTTAATACGCAATAAAAAAATTTAGTAAACCAGTTAAACATGTGTTCTTAGCAATAATATATCGCTAGAATTGCAAGATTGATTCGAGTGTTTTTTGCCGCGAAAAATAAATAAATTGTTGAACTACGTTTTGCCGGATATTTGCGACGCTCTTCAGCAAACGCATTCCGCGCGCATCGGTTCTCGATAGGTCGCCGCTCCTTCACGGGAGAAGAGAACTTATCCCTGAATCGGAGGATGTTGCACCGCGGCGAGGTTCGCGTGTGCAGCATCGCCCGGTCATTGCACGGGGCTTTTCGGATCGCGATTTCAGGCTCTCGCTCTTTTACACGGCCCTTTCTCCCTTTGGCTTCCTATCCCTTTGTGCCGTTTATCCAAGCGACCCTCCGTGGTCTCGCGACTTCTTCTCCTCCTCGTACACTCAAAATCCTTTCGTCCTTATTCCTCGCACGACAGATTTGTTCTTCGTTTCGCTCGTTCCTGCGCGTATCGCGCGGCGCTACGTTGCGAAATTTTGTCGGTTTTATTTTGGGGAACATCTGGTGGCTGGCATGCGGACAAAGGAAACTTGCTCTCTCAGGAAATCTCAGGCAAGAGGGTGGCTCGCGCGCGGTTAGGCTTATTTACTTGGTCCTAGTGACGTAGAATGTTTGTAAACAATGGGCCCACACGATGATAGCGGAGGGACGATGAAGGTGAAATAAATTAGAGGCACTTGGAGGTCGCCGCGTAATTTCTGGGAAAGATAGAAAATACATTCAAGAGAATATTGAACACGTTGCTTTCACAAGTTGAAGAATAAAATCGACTTGAGAAATGTTGTTTAAGAGCAAAAATAAAAATTTTTATAAATAAGTAAAATTGCGTAATGTATATTTGTAAAGTTTAAAATGTTTATGTAAATGTTGTCATTTATTGTGTGTGTGTGTGTGTAAAAAGATCGTATCTTTGAACTCAATATGCAGACAAGACATGCAGAAAAGATTTTAACAGATACAAGTTGGCTGAATTATCTTTAATCAAAAGAAGCAATCTTCTAACTGCATTTAACAATTGCGTGGCGAAGATTACGTCAGATTACATATGTTTAAAATCGAATTACGACGACAAAACCGGATGCATCCTTGTCGCTCAATTATAGCGTAGCGCAATCAAACGTTTACAAAGTTACGCAAAATTGTTAAAGGATTCGCAAATGTGAAACTTCAGAATAATAAATTTACAAAAATATCAAAGTCATAGAACCAACTTCAAATCATTTTATTATAAGCGAAAGATTATTCTTCTTAGCAAAATTACAAAATATACTAATTAAATATAATAATTGACATTTCTACAACAGACGAAGTCTATCTACGTGTATAAAATAAAAAGTCAGGATCGATTTCGCCATGCTTATTTTACACGCATCGACTATCTAACACGATCCGATTTAAACTTGTCCGTTTCGGGCTCAGCTTCTCTGACTCCCTTCGTACGGAACAATAGCCATTTACTGTGCATGTCCAAGCGCGTCACAAGTGTGTGCATAATCGACACTCCGATTCGCGTGTAGGTGCATCACTCGAAAGATGAAAACAGACCGGTTCGTCGTGCCGAGAGAGAAGCGTCGCGTCTAACCTACCGGGGGCCCGAAAACAACAATATGGCGTCTGGTCGTCCCTTTAAAACGAGTTAATCCGTCTGTCTGGCCGTCTGCCGATCGCCTGAGAACCAAGAAGATTCATTTCCCCTTTGTTCATTCTTTTTCACACGTACCCCCCCGAAAAGGGCCTCGCGGCCTCAATGGCACAATACGCGCGGACGACGCCGCGCCAGCTCGCATTCGCGGGTCCTTTCCGGACAGGTCCCACACATACACGCGCGCCTATAATCGCCGCTCACGCGCGTGTATATATTCCGGCGAAAGTGAAATACGCCCGTATATACTCGCCAGCGAAGATTGTTGCGTCTTCGACCCGCTCCTCGGCTCGCCGCGTCGGACAGATGTTTCTGGCCCGTTTCGTTCGCGGATCGGTCAGCGTAGCGCGGGATGTCAGGGGCGCAATTGCGGCAATATAATGCGAATCGCGGATTCCCGTCGACCCGACCGCTGGACCCGTAGGTTCGTTGACCTTCGCCCGAGACGTGCTTGATGCAATTTTCGTGGGCGGTCTCAGCCTTGCCTCGCGGATATAAAATACAGTTGCTGCGGCATCCTTGGATTTTAATTCTTTTTAAAAGAGATGCAAAAGAGATACGAGATTGTATCCGATATTCTATTCGTAGTAACTTGAGTTGTAGTGTGGAAGAAAATAATTAATATATAAAACATAATGTATTCGTAATATGTTACTTTTTGAAGGCATACACTCTCTAAAAGTGTTTACCTATATATTTCCTATAATTTTCCATGATATGTTCAAAACACAAAAAGTAAATTTGAAAAAAAAAAATTAAATTATCCAAATTTATCGTGTAGTTTCTTGAAATGAGATGTACATATGTGATTAGTGAGCTGTGGTAATTAACATATATTTACGTACGATTAATTAACATGTATTTGCACGCCGGCTCTTCTTCATTACTTATTACGTAATAGTAGTTTTGTGAAGATATTAGTAGTAGAGATTGAAAAAACATATGCGCGCATATATGTATTAAGAAAAACGATTTCGTTGATTTAAATGAATATTATAATTAAATAGTCATTGTAGCTTATGTAAATAACTAAGAGATAGACTATACCTTGTCTTTTTATAAATTTAGAATCCGGTGTTTCCTGCCGAGGATTGAGCAGCGCTAAATGTGGCTGAGAAAGGTCCGATGTTGAAACTCGCGCTCTGTGCATTGGCCTGGCTGTGTCCTCCACCGTAAGGACCACCTCCACTTACAGATCCTGCCGATGCCGAAGCGAAAGACGCTCCTTGTCCAGCGTGGTGATGGCCACCGTAGTCCGGTTGCCATCTGCGTGAATCAGAAAGTAGAATGCAAACAGTCACCTCTTTTGCATATCTCGCTTTGTACATTTGTGAAAAAACTACAGATGCTATTTATTTGAATTGCTATTTAAAATGTTTTTTTTTGGATTTACTAGAAGTTTTATAAGATAATTGATAAAATAAAATTATTTTGAAATTAATTGTCATGTGTTATACAAAAAGAGCTTTATTCCAGGGAAAAAAAACTTTCTGCTTGTGTTTGACATTTTCTCTGGTTTTTTACATATGTAATAATATAAATACTATAAGTGATTCGATTTGTATAGTTTATATTAATTGTAATTATCAAGTAAAAAAGCATAATTTATACCCTCCGCCGCAGTTATAACCACGGCAACCTCCACCAAAACCATGATATGGTTTGTGGTGATGTTTTCGTCTGCTTCCAAAATGGCGTGCGCCGTAATCATAGTCGGAATAATCGCTACCGCCTAACAAACCAAATTGTGGCGATCTCTGTTCTCTCTTGGTATCTATAATAATACGTGAACTCAAACTAGATGTAACACATTATGCATTTTTTTAAGGTGTAAAAAATACATAGATATATGAAGAATTTAGATAAGAATTAATCAATGTATATAATACATCGTATAATGGCAAATGAATTTTTTAATTCTTTATATACCTATAATTAAAAGTTTTCAAAAATATATGTACGTAATAAAAAATATAATAAATACAAAGTGTTTTTTCAATATGTTGTTGTTGTACAATACTTGATTAAATTTTAATTACTGACCGAGTTTAGATGAAGTATTCACATATGATGCAATCGGATCCGGCACATCGGAAGTTTCCACTGTTTCTGTTGGTTTGCCGAACGATTTACTCGTCGTCAGAAAAATCACGCCAAGCGCTATAAATAAAACTGCATCTCCCTTCATTATAAAAGAACAACTTTCACTGTTACCTGTCACACACCTGAAGAACGATTCGAAGCTGATCTTCCGTTTAACGTGCTTTTATAGAGAATCCCTTCACTGTCTAAAAAGAATCCAAGGAAGTTGCTTATAACAACATTATCACTTTTAAATGTAAAGAGACGGTCATTGGTCTTCACGCAGTCTTTACACACAGAGTGGACGACCTTACACGTTTCAAGGATGACCGGAAAAAGGCCGGGGACATAAGGAAACCTATTACAAATAGATATTGAGACATCGTAAGTTTGACTACATGTTCAAAACTGCTATACGTCTGAGCTTGACTACTCTTTGATCACGTATGCTGCTTGTAATAATTTTTGAAGATAAGGAAAAATCTTCAAATAATGTACGCCATAAATGTTTACTTACATTTTTTCTGCACAATTGTTATATATAATTACATATTGTGGCAGAATATTATTAACTAAAAATAATTTATACATACTTTGTTACTGTTAAAAAAATATTAATTTCAAATAATATGTACAATAAAAATAGAGATATTTACAATCAGTTTTATATGTGATATGTATGTATTTATTTATTTGTTGTTATCTTCTAATATTGCACTGATATATTGTCGACTGAGATACTGAAAAACCTGCACACAAGTGCATAATAATAATAGACGTAGTTTCATAACATCTTAAACCTTAAAAACTAATTAACTTTTACACTATATATTAAAGTCTATCATACTTTTAAAAGTGCAACATTTCAGGTTCACCTTGTACATTTCTTCGCATCGCTCTGACGTGATTCCCATCGTATAAGCTCGTTATTGCGCGCGATCTTTTGCGTTACTCTCAACATATACAAAGATAATATTTTAAGAAAAAAATTTTCTAGTCAGCACTTCTTGTCACATGCGTATCTAACGACATTGATTAACGATATTAAATTTTTGTACGCGCGAGTGCTTGGAGTTATCAGAAAAAAGAATTTTATCATTTTTGCTTTTCTGTCATCGTTGATGCGGACTTAAAGAAAAGAGTAATTAGCCAACTACATTCTTACTGCACGTCTCTAAAGCAAGACTAAACAAATTTTATTTTGATATTGTTTGTAATTTTGAAGGATTGTCTTTCCCGTTATATTTCGCTTATCTACGGTATATCGACAGCATAGATGTGTAATGGTGATTCCTTTACTTGCGCTACGTTTTTTTTGTAAGCCTGCATTATAAGCACACTCGACTCTTTTCATGATCTTATTAGAAATAACGCGTTCATTAATGCGTACTCTTGGCGTAAAAAATTTTTTTAAATAAGTTAAAACAATTTGTTCAAAGAATTTAAAAGAAAAAAAAATGTACAAAACTTCAAGAATTTATTCAATGTTATTTTATAAATAGCTTTAGATTAATAGAGATTTTTAGATTAATGGGATCTGGTTGTAGTAGATCAGAAAAAATTTATTAAAATCGTTTTTACACATTCTTACAATTATCGCGCGATATTATATATTACATAATAGTACATGAGAAACATCATATTACGTTATTACTTGCATACGTACACGATAACGGGTGATAATAACGATAATTCCGCGAAATCGCTGAAGAAATAACATGTCGTGTAAAAAATCATTATCGATAATTGCGTATTAATTGCGAAAATCATATATGCAAGAATTCGCAGGATCGAACAAACAGACGTCGCCATCGTTTCGTCTCTCTCTCTCTTTTCCTTTCTCTCCCTCTGTCTCTCTTTTTCTGTTTTGCTCATCGCACCTTTACGATTCTTTCTTCCGTTTTCCTCGTTCGCACTCTTGCGTAGAACAAGTTCGACGAGTTTTTATCTTCGTTGTTTCCGACACTCCTGAGAGACGCCTGTCTCATCGTGAGAAAGACAAAGAGACGATATGGTCGACCAATGTCAACCGCGATTGTTGTTTTACAAAAGTTTTCTTTTTTATTGAAAAAAAAACGCAAGCATGTTTTTCGATCGTCGAGAGTTATTCTTGGCAACAGTAAAGATTACGCTTCAGGATTTACGGAAGTTTTTTGTTTCGAACATAAAGTTAACAGATAAAAATTTCATAATTATACATTAACAGAGGTAATTTTAACTAAATTATCACATCTTTGCATATGTGTGTGCGTTACATGTGTAATTTTTATTATGTAATCTTAGTGTATAATTATTATTGGCACGTTTGATGTAAATCACAGATCCAAAATTTAAAGAAAGCGATCTATACAATAGAGATATAATTTAAGTACGAATATAAATAAAAAGAGAATATATTAAGGCTTTAAATTAAGGCTTTATAACGTGTCTGTGCATGTATGTCTTTATACTGCTCGCTACAGAAAGTGCGCATATACAAATATTTAAATCGTTTGCAAAACGTCTTAAATAATTATGTAAAGGTAATCCTATCAGAGGCGTTACACACATGTACAATGTTCAGTTTCATTTTCTAAATTTATTTTCATTAGAAAAATGAAATGAACATTGTACATGTGAACTCTACTATAAAATATATGTCTGTTAAAAATATGTCTGTAACTATTCTGATGTAACCGAGTACGAGAGGATAAACAAAAAGCCTATGAAGAAGAAATATCTGACTTTGTAATCACGCATGAGTTATTTGCTGATACCTAAATTACTTATTATCCTAGTTTTTTGGATTTAGAACATATGACTCAAAAGCGGTAACGTAAAAAAAAAAACAAGCGTATTGAACAAGATGCTGTTAGAACTTCGTAACTTGTATATGCAGATTCATTATAATTTTAATGTCTTTGTCAACCAACTTATTTAAATGTAGATTTGATCTGTACGTCATATTTTTCATTTTTGTTTAATGTTTTACATAAATATTAGATACTCTTAAGGTAACTTATATCTCAGTATTAATTGATTTTTGATTAGCATGAGGTACCTTATTTCGTCCTTATTAAACAAAACAACGTTTGATCTGCCTCTGACGCGATACGAATACAAGTGTGACTTCCTACTTTTACACAATCTCGAATAAATGCTCAAGAAAATTCATTTTCAAAATTATACATATTGTAAATGCTAAAGGTACTTTTAATTTATTGATTATAATCTCTAAAAAATATGTTCAAAATTATAAATAAGTATAATTATAAATTCGAACATATCGTTGGATAATCTCATGGCATCATTACAATTTTCTAATAATTGTGAAATTATATACATATATAGTAAGTGACATTATATTCGCGCACCTGAAACGTTTATTTGCAGAAAATAAAATAATAAAATATATATCCGAGTATTATCTGGTCATGGAAATTTTTTTCCGATGCTTTGTCGATCGGTTTTGTCATATCACAATATTCAATTGAAAACCAACATGGACCTGGTGTCAATCGTGGCTGCTGCGTGGCTCGATGCTGAGCTGTGTGCACCATTACTATCCGCAGATGCATTACTGGACGCGTCTGCTTTCGCGGATCCCGATCCGTTTGTGTAGGCCGACGATTTACTGGAGCTGTTTGCTGATGCCAATCCGCCATTGGAACTTGCGTTGGATGAAGCGTCGGAAATAGCATTAGAAGTGCCGCCGCCGGACGCAATTGCATTGGAGGACGCCTGTGCGTTTGAGCCTGCGAGATGGAATAGCGAATCATTTAATTACGATCAGTCCTGATGCTACAGCCTCTGCCATGGACAATGCTGACGCTTCGGCCTCAGGGCTTAGGCCTGCGGAAAAGCGAACATGGAAAGCTCTGGTTACGTCTTTTCGAAGGAAGACAAATACAAATGAATATTAAACATCTGACAGAATCATCTGTCAAGGTGCTGTGGTGAGGTAAGTAAGTTTTCTTATCTCATACATAATGGCGTTTATGATCGATGGACATCAACAACGTTAGTAAACGTGCCCAAGGATGTGATACTTAAAGATGTGCCAATATGTACATCTTGGAGATTTGAGATGATTTGAAGTTGGATGACTCGTTTTTGCCAACTTGACTGTTAATCAATGATGATGTAGCTTAGGATAATTTTTTATTTCTTATACGATAAATTATGTTGGAGTTTGCGAGAAAAAGAATGCGGTTGATTGATGTGTTTTGATTGTCAATCTCTGCTATCGGAATATTTACATATAATAAGACGTTACATAACAACCAAGATAAACGTCGACACAAAGCAATAACTGTGTACGCAACGATGATAACTGTTAATTGGTTAATGCTTATATTTTTAATGAAATAGACATTTGAATGTCAATGTCAAGAATTATATACGTGAGTTTTAGAGATAATTGATTATCGTAACAATGGACATTACACACACACAAATTTACTTGACAAACACATGTATACCTCCTCCAACAGATCCACCAAATCCACTTTGGCCACCGTATCCTCCGTGTCCGGATCCTTTAACACCATCTCCGTATCCACCGAGAACAGTGGCACCAGAACTTCCAGCATTAGCATTTGCAGCGGCATTAGCATTGGCACCGGATGAGCCTCCTCCGTATCCACCAAGATTAGATCCGGAAGAACCGCCTTGTACATATCCACCACTACCTTGACCTCCGAGAGATCCA